GCTGAGAGACACACACACACACACACACACACACACACACACACACACACAGTGAGCTTACCAAGACAACACAGCTGTTCCAAAACTTAGTGAGCTGATTTGCTGTATTCTTCCTACATAGACAGCATCCCTACTAAGGCAGCATTCTAAATGAAATGCAACCTTATAAGTGAGTGATTTGGAACGCCTTACATTGGCAGCGACTGTGTGCATCACATTAATAAAAGTAGTTGTAGTTTTGATTAAACGTTTGACGTTAAAATTACAGTGCTGAAAATAAAACAATAAATCCAAAATAAAATGAAAGTTAAATTATAGTAAAAACTATAATTAATAAATAATCTATTGATTTAACTTATAGTTTGATTTTTTTACCTTATTAAATTTTTTATATGAAATTATTAAACGCTACATAATGTTATTAAAATTGTATATAATATATTTTATATTTATTAATTTTATTTGTAGAATTTAGTCAGGTGTTAGTATATTGCTCTATGAAACGTAATAAATAGAAAGCACATACAAATATTTAGTAAAAATAGACTGAACTGTTAAGATTGAATGAATTAGACATTTATCATAATTTCTCTAAAATCGTCGGCCATCACGAATAGATCTTTTTGAATGTAATGCATTATGGGGCTGCTTTGACTAGGAAGGATATATGCAATATGCAAATATATGTGATCTTAAAAGACTGAAAAGAATCTGTATTGCGAGCACATTTTAAGCTGTTTAAGACAGAAGCTCACTAGGTTTGGATGTAGTTTGCTACTGTGACGAATTAACGAATGCTGCACTTCACACAGCACAACATGAAAAGCACAGGACAGGCTGAGATGGCATGGGACAATCAATGACGTGCCCTTTTTGCTTGCTTTTTCTTTTGAAGAAACTCTGTGAACTTACGCTGGGGAGGCTGAGAGTCGAGCGGCATCATCATTTTGGGTCTCACTCCCCTCCGACCAGCCAAAGTGGACACGCTCTCCTCCACCTCATGACCTGCGCACACAGACATGCATTCATGAAACAGACTGGGTCCTCGATGCTGGGTGCTGGGTGAGGTGTAGGTGAGGTGAAGCTGAGGCTCTCACCCCGTCTCTGATGGCTGGGCTCAGCGGCGGGGTCCTGGGTGGTCCGCGGGATGGGCGTCTCTGTCATGACCGGGTTGGGCTCGGGTGATTTGTCCATGGGTTTGAGCTCCAGACGCTCGTGATGGATCCACAGATCAGGAGGTTTCAGGTCTTTAGATGAACTCTTGTACTTGTGGGAGCCGGTGCTGGACTTACAGGCCGCACGCTTCCTGAAAACAAACACACTTGAATATTTAGAAAAAAAAATTTTGTAATTACTTGAATATTTAATATTTTATTTGTTTTATATTTTACAAATATTATATACTATGCATATATATATATATATATATATATATATATATATATATATATATATATATATATATATATATATATATATATATATATATATATATATATATATATATATATATATATATATATATATATATATATATATACACACACACACATATATATAATTTTTTTTTTTTTCCAGCTACCAGCTCAGATCTTCAGCCATAAGACTAAATCACCCTTTTAATTATTTTAAAATCATTAATCGAATATCAAAACTATTTGAAACAAGAACATGAATAGCTTGAGTGTGTTGGCACTCGGATAGTAGATACATTATATAGATGTTACTCTATACTATATATTTGATACATTATGAAAATTTCAATTTATGACAATTTAGAATAATTTCATAGAGATCTGACACAACAAAAGGTAAAAAAATAAAAAATAAATTTAGCTTTGTTTTATTGGTTAAATTAATTTTATCTCATTAAAATTATCTTTTGATGTCTTATAAAATTTATTTTTGCAATATCAAATATATTTCATATATTAAATATATATTATTATTAATGCATAATTATATATTTAAATTTTTAAAATATAACACTTCTAAAATAGACATTTAAAATGACTGTCATATAACATAACATTAAAGTCCCACATTTTCATAATTAGTATTTTAATGTTATTATATTTAAATAGCCAGTAATTCATATTTTTTAATAACATTAAAATAGGGGTTCTTTGTGACAGAATAACAACAATCAAGATTAACTGAAGTCAGATCCTGCAGCACTTATTGAGATCTTTTTCTGTACTTTTAATTCTTCATTCATGTTGAATTAAGCGTGATTTTACCACAGTTAAGGGGTCATATGATGCGATTTCATGTTTTCCTTTCTCGTTGGAGTGTTAAAAGCTGTTCGTGAATAGATAAGATCCCTAAAGTTGCAAAGACTAAAGTCTCAAACCTAAAGAGATATTCTTTATAAAAGTTAAGAGTCAACCATGCCTGCCTAAAACGGCTCGTTCTAACACGCCCCCACATGTCTACGTCACGATGTGGGAAGATTTGCATAACACCGCCCAAATGTTCACGCAAAGAAAGAAGGCGTAACTTTATTGTTGCCGCCGCCGCTATATAGACTTTTTATTTAATGATAAACATTTATAAATGTCTCACACACACACAAATACATTTAACTTGAAATTCAAATTAATTTAATTTAATTTAAATAAAAAAATACATTTAATTTGCATTTCAATTTCAAGTGCTATATGGCAGATTTAACAACTGTTTTAATGTCTGGTAATTGTTTTGACAATATTACACTTCTAAATATCTACTTCTAAATACATTTATTAAATATCAAATAGCATGTATAATATTATTGAATTATGTATGAATAATATGTATAATAAAATAATGGTAACACTTTACAACAAGGTTCATTAGTTTACAACTTTAGCTAACATGAACTAAGCATGAACAATACTTCTACAGAATTTATTAATCTTAGTTAATTTCAACATTTACTAATGCATTATTAAAATCAAAAGTTGTGCTTGTTAACATTAGTTAACGACTGTATTTTCATTAACTAACATTAACAAAGATGAATAAATACTGTAATGAATGTATTCCTCATGTGATTTAATACATTAACTAATGGAACCTGTAAAGTGTTACCAATATACTAAATCAATATGTATAATAAACGGACATGATTAGTTAAAATTATTAATGCATTTAAAACTTAATGTTGTGTGACCGTTTAATTTCCTTCTGCATTAGAAAGATGTTTAATTACCTTGATCACTGGACATTTTGTCTGATGGTTCCGCTGGAAACAAAGACAAACGGAATGAATCGAAGAGCACAAGGTGAGTTTTAACAGGCGAGTCTAAACGAGGTTAAGCTTTTACCTTTGGGGGTGTGGAACTGTGCCGCGTCTGACATGGGTCCCATGCCTTTGGAGTTTCTCGCCTGGATCTTAAAGTAGTATGCGGTGTCCAGCGTCAGCCCCTGAATCTGATGGGTCAGTCTGTTTCCCACCACGGGCTCCACCACCCAATCATGGACCTCGGCGTTCACATCGGTGCTGTAGTAGATGATGTACCCTGAGAGAGAGAGACAGAGAGAAAAGCATCCACTTTTCTGATTTCTGATTCGGATGCATGACTGATTATGTAAATCCTGTGATCGGCATCCGTAATGAAATCAGAGATCGACCGATATATCGATTTACCAATATTTTAGCATTTTACCATAATCGGATATCGGTTTTGTAATATCGGATTCACCGATAAACGCACGACTGAAAAGAGGAAAAACCAAAGTGAAGTATGTTCTTACTTCACTCAGTCATTTGTTTACTTTATAACAGTAAATAAATATCGGGTCTGCATATCGGTTATCGGGCACATAAACATGCAAATAATTGGTATCGGTTATAAAAAAATCAATATCGGTCGATCACTAAATGAAATCAGGCTAAAATTTGTTTCACTGTCATGCAAATAATGTCACCAGGCAAAAATCTTGATGCTTCTAAAAAATAAGCCTGATTTTCTTCAAGCATGTTTTGTGGTGAAGATGTTTTTGGTGTACCTGTGATTTTGCCGTTGGCTTCAGTCGGAGGCTGCCAGTTGATGTTGATGATTCGTGGATTTCCCTCTTTACTGATCACCGTCACATCTTTTGGAGCAGAGCTGGGAACTACAAACCACACCAAACAACATTAAAGCCCCAGAATACAACTACATAGACTATTACTAAAAGCTTTGTCATTGCAATTTGTCCCGAAATCATGTTAAAATGCCAATAAGATATGTTTCTTTTGTTTTTTCTTACGTTTTATCATGATTATTAATTTTATTTACCACTTTTTTATGTTTTTTCTTCTTGTGTGTGTGCATATATTATTATTGCTTTTATAAAACGGTTATTCCATATATGTAGTAAGGTTTCACAGAATAAAACGGAGCAAATAAAGTGTAATGATATTAATAAAAACAGTATTCTTCCACCAAACAATGTAGTTCCTCAGAAACAGTTGTGGCTGCAACAAAGTGGTTGCCGAGCAACACACAGACGTAAACAATACAACAGCTTCGAACGTGACTCAACCAATCAGAATCAAGGACCGGAACTATCCGTTTTATAAATATATATATATAGCTTTTCAATTTCCAACTCTTATAGAAAATTGTAATCTTAAAGAAAAAATTGAAATGAATGGATGTAGTCCCATGGATTTGTTGGCGAGAGTCGAGGATTTGTTGAATCTGATTTGTATTGAAAAACCAATAAAATAACTTTGAGAACAAAATGCAAATAAGACATTAAATATGCACTCATTTTGCATGCATTCTGAAACTAAACATCTGTGTTTTAAGTTTTATGTACTTTATGCATTAATTTTGGATATTACAAGGTTGAGAGAACCCATGTTTTTTTCACATCTACAGACAAATTATAATAAATTATGAAATACATTTTATATAATAAAATGCTCTTGAAATAGTCATAAAATAATTGGGAACTTGTGTGGAAAAGCTGCTGCATACATGTTTAATGAGATAAAACTAGATGAAATGGCTATTAAATGCAGGCTTGCATTTAATGTACATAATTAAACAAATAATAACAACAATAATAAAAATAATTACACTAAATGAAATGACCATGACATAATGTCATAATAATTAATAATAATTCCTCAACCATAATCTCCTCAACCATAAGTCATATTTAATGGAATTTGATGTAATTTTATATATAGTGTGTGTGTGTGTGTGTGATACTATCTGTTAGTTTGAGTGGGATTAAGGGTCTGTTGAGTGTGTATACACAGTCTCTGTGTGTGTGTGTGTGTGTGTGTGTGTGAGAGAGAGTGTGTGTGTGTGTACTGGTATATATGCGTACTGCTCCTGCGGCTCTTGGTCACCATAACGGAGAACTCATAAAGCGTGTTGGGTTTCAGAGCCGTTACCGTATGAAACAGGGTCGTGGTGTTTGCCGTCTGACAAAACAAGCAGCAGACAAACACATGAATAAAGTTTATCACTGCATACTGTAACACATTTGACTATGTAGTATGCAGTAAGCAGTACACTAGTTTTCCATTCAACACACTAGAGACAGTGAACACTAGAGGGTGCTCTATGCACAGAAAATTAAAACACTGAAATACTCTTCAGAATCAGTGTTATTTTAGTATCGAGCTACTATTGTAGTTTTGACTAATAGTTTTAATTTTCTGTTTTTTTTTTATGTCACTTAAAGTTTTAGTAATTTTGTTGTATGTTTTTGAAATTTAAAAAAATGTCTATATATTTCATTAATTTTATTTCAGTTTAATTTTAGTTATTATTTTTCTAAATCAATTTAAATAAAATGAAAATGAGAAATGCTGCGTTGGCAACTAGCTTATTTATTTATTAAAAATTTTTTTTTTTACATTTTATTTCAGTTAATGTTTATTTCAGGTCACACATTTTTTTTATGGTTTTAGTTAACTACTATGATCCTCTAATCCACTTTAGAACATCAGTTCAAGTGAAATGAAGCAGTTTTGAACACCAAACTAATCACTATGATCAAAACAGCACTCCTTCGAGATGGTGGATACCTTATATTTGGTGTTGGCGGGGATGTTGGTCTTCCAGCGGATGGTGTAATATCTGGAGTCGGTGATCTTCTGGTTCTTGGCGAGCGAGTTGTCGGCCCAGCTGACTTTGACAGTGTCGTGGCTGAGGACGGTGGCCTGAACGCCCACCGGGGGCAGCATGGGTGTGGGGTCGGGTGCTGGGGTGTATGGGTTATTAAAGAGCTCATAAAAATCAATATCAGCATCTATGGGGTCTGACAGCAGCGGCACACACAGATGAGTCAGAGCAAATCATGATAAATGGAGAACAAAATAAAACAAAATCACATGGGTTTCAAAAATATGAGAGGATTGATCAGGGTTAGGCGACATAAAACGGATTAATGGTTTAGGTGTGGACGAGTGAGAGGAAAAATGAATGAAAAAGAGAAAGAGAGATATGATTAGAATTAAGAAGGCCCATATTTAAACTGAAACAGTATATATATGCAAAAATATTACAGGCTGAGTCATGGATTATATTGTATACACTGTATACAGAAAAATACTCACTGATTAAAGAAATAATATAAGCTTAATACAACTTAAGCTCTAAGGTCAGTATCTGAGAAGATAAGCACAGAAAATCATTTCAACTGATCCCTCAGACTGTAAAAAAATCGCATGCACAGTGATCCACTTACAATGGAAATGTATAATAATAATAATAAAATAACTATTATTATTAGTTAAACAATATTAAAACATAAGAAAAAACAAAAAAGATATTACTATTGCAATAATACTATTTTACTGTAAAATAAAAAATAGTATTTATAATAATAATTATTATTACTTTATTTATTTTACTATATACAATTTTTGTACTTTATTTGATTTATAGAAATACCAAAAATATATTACTATTGCAATAATACTATTTTACTGTAAAGTAAAAAATTTATAATAGTAATATTTATAATATTATTTAATGATAATGATAGTAAAAATACATTTTAATAAACTTTATTACAATCAATGTAACTATTTTACAGTAAAACAGTAAAATTACAATACTACTATTTATGGCTGTCTTAATTTCTTTACTTTCTAACTACAGAGCTTTTATTATTGTGTTTTACTTTAAGTGTGGATTTTCATGTCTATCCTGCTCCAGCATTTTTTATTTTTTTTTTGGCTAATTTAAGAGGGACAAATCCAAATTATCCTGTAATTAACAGCATGTTGCTGATCAACAGAGCTCTGAATTTAATTAAGATACACCTGGAATTGCTACTGATTTTTCTGTGAAAATATCCACAGATTTTTTTGTCAACAACAAAATAAGCAGGCTCAGCAGAAAACTGAAATAAATGATTGTTGCAAACAAGCTAACGCTCATCCTCGGCGAACTAACTAACTAATTTATGGGCCATTTCGCGCTCTAGCTTAGGTCTGTCAGAAAAGTTGTGTGAAGCTGACAGAGTGGGATCTGACGCAGATCTCAACCTGACAGGACGGCAGGGGGTCTGGAAAGCTCTAACAGCGGCGTTCTGTCTGAGACACCTGACGTACAGTGAAAGAAAGAGAGCTGTGAGCGCACACATTACACCTGTAGGTTTGGATGTGTGTTAGCGTGACACGCCGCGAGTCCCAGAACCGAGGGGGGCAGTATCTGTCACCTCACATATAACAGGAGAAAGAGATTGTAGTTTCTCTCTACTACAAAACAACGTCAGACTGATTTCTAGAGCCTGAGGGGTGTGCGATATATATCGTCTGCGATAATATCGTAAATGTTGTTTTAATGATGTGCGATTTGACATTATCGAGTATTTTGCAAAAACCATTCAAAACATCACTACAGAGCGCACGCATACATCACGTGAAGTCTAGACTAGTGCGCGAGCGCATTTAGAGTGCGTTCTTTCACTGCATGATTCAGTCTATTAAAATGCATTTAGAATGATCACAAATTCAAGACATGATGGCAGAAAATGTATATATTTATGCCATGTCATATAGTTAATTAATTTCACACGAAAAGTGCAGTTTTTCTCCAAATATTACCATGATTACAAACGTGATATTGATTTTTTACAGCAGTTCTATAAACAAGAAGTTTATTAAAAGACTTACGTTTTAGACAGCATATTGCCTGTTTTTGCTCTATTTCGACAACAAAAATTATTCCAAACACAGCCACAGTGCTGTTTTGCGTCTCTGTGCAACATGACGGTGTTTCGTTCCTGAATTAATCAACCGTTTAAATGATTCGGTTCAGTCGCAATGACTCACTTATTAACAGTGA